ACACTCTCAATGTCCTTCTTCCTTAGACCACAAAAGGAAATAAAAATCATAACCCTCAACTTGAGCTCAGAGTCCAATACCCACAAAAAGGAGCATGATAAAAGCAACAGAAAGGCTCTCACAATGCTACCACCTTCAAAAGCAACTAGCATAAAGTAAGGAAAAAAGGTGTCTGATCTTAACAAGACTCCATGGATATCACAGACCAATGTATCAAACATTCTACTGTTGCCTACATCACACTTGGTAACACTAGGGAACAAAGAAGCAGCTGGTTGCTGTGCTGTTGACCTAAGAGTTTGGTTCCTTAGAAAGAACCCGTAGTTTCTCATCTTCCTTGCAGCTCTATAACATGAGTTGGCCAGCAGCTGGTACAAGACCCAGTCTGCAAGCTTCAGAAATACCACAGGGAAAACCATGGCTAATTTTCTGCCTGAGGGGCCAATGATATTTTTCACCAAGGAAACTAGAAACAGCTCAGAGAGAGAAAGAGATGGCAAAAGAAACAGAGGCTTTGTCTAGAAGAGGAAGAAAGTAGGAAGGGTTTGTGTATGGAAGTGGAAGGAAAACAGAGAATATTTATAGGAGTCATTAAAGGGGGGTACTGAACATGGGAGAAGTTGACCACAGCGCATTTGGTTAGCCACACCGCCAGCATTGATTGCTCAATCAATCTTCTCCTGATCTTTGCCCTTCTTCTTTTAACCTTTTAAAAATTATATTAATTTTACATTGATCTGTGTTGAGTTCCATGCACTTGCTTCTATTTCTGCATTAGCAGCAGCCTCATTTTCCTCGGCTAAATAGTTAGGTTGGATTCTTGGTGACCGTCTTTCCAAGCTTTGGGTGTTTTTTGTTTGAAAATTTGATCTCTCTCTCCAACTAGTAGTCCTATTTTTATATTGGAATGTGTGCTTATACCATCAGCTTGGGCATGAAAAACTGGAGAACTTCGGTGGATTTGAATTTTCAAATGTATTCTTTTCCTCCACATGAACCAATCCCAAGTTAGATGGCCTGCATCATCTGATCGATGGACCTTTTTCAAGATTGTTTACAGGTCAAAATATTATCAGAAAATTACAACCACTTTTTGCCATTGACTTTCCTTTAGGTATAATAAACCTCTTGATGACCCTGTTCTGTGTGATTTTCTCTTTCTTTTTTTTTAATAAAATATTATTAGTTATTACACATAGATAGATGGATATATTAGTTAACAAGTTCGTCGTGGCCATTAATTCTTCTCCCTGGATATTAAAGAGTTCATTTGATTGCTCATCACGTGAGATGAGTGGAAATAAAATTGTTGAATGTAATTGATTCTTAGAAGCTTAACTGGTTGTTGAGATCTAAACACAATTTCAACCAAAAATTTATGACTATTTCTCCAATTACCAAGACGTTTCCTCTAGCCAGCTGCTATGGGCAGCCTGTTAGGCAAGGGCAGTGTGAAATAGCCACCAACTGTTTCAAGGATTGATACATTCAATCTATCCTTTATAGAAGAGGAAATTCTTTGACTTTTCTTTCTTCTTTTTTTTTTGGTTCTTTTTGGCTAGTTTCGTTAGCATGTTCAGATCATGCAATTCTCAATCGTTAACAGGTTGGTGAACTTTCAATCATTTAATATTGAATTTAATGGATGTACTCCAGGGGTTCATGACCTACCTTGGCGCATCATATATATCTAATAAGGGTAAAAAAACAAGTTGGAGAAGTGGATACATAAGCAACAACATCGTAGAATAGAAATGAATGGAAACATAGAATTCTTAGCCAATGTATTTGATTTAATTCCTTTGCTTGTTGGCAATGATCGTCAGAGAATCCATTAATTACTTGGCAAATTGTTTGAACTTAATTTGTTGGGATTAAGCGTTATGATCACGCAATTCTCGTTAATTATGGAGTTGGTAAATCTTTCAATCATTTGATGTGGATGTTTCGATATAAATCATGCATGTTGAGTGCATGAAAACATAGGGAGATTCTGGAATTTGTGGCGCCACAAGTGTGTTTCTTTTCTGGTCATGGAGAACATGAGACAAGCAAAAGCCACGAAGCATTCGTGGGTTTGAATAGTACCTTTATATATAACCCACCTAATATTGAAAATATGTCTCAAGAAAGCGTAGGGGAATGTTATGTGCATGTATTATTCATACACACCACGCTTGAAAACTGCTACAAGATTAAGCCTGAGCATTATCCATTGATTGTGTGCTTATCCGATAAGCTCAATAAAATTATTGACGTAACAAAAAAAACTTGAGGCTTTTATTTCAATTAATAATTTTAATTATCTTTTACAAAATTATTAGACCAGATAGATTAGTTAAAAGCCTTATATTATTTCAACGTATTTCTCATTCTAATACGTTCAATTGAACTCTTAACCAATTATTTATATTCAATCATATGAAATCCTTAAATAGATTAAATTGACCAATTGAAATGGTCATAAGTGGAAAATTTTTCACTAATTTTATTACAAGAGCAAAGTCACACATACCAACTAATTATGAAGATATAAGTGAAATCTTTTCGGCAATATAAGAGGCTATTGAATACAACTCATAGTATGAGAGTTTATACAAATACAATAAAAAAAGAGCTTATTTAGAAAAAAATTCAAAGATTTATTTAATAGTTTAACCACCTTGAGATATATATATCTCGAAAAGTATTTGTTTTTGTTTATAACTGTTAATGTTATTTTGAAGAAAGAAAAAAAGTAAGGCGAAATTTGGGTACAATTCTAAAGTTAAATCATATACAGTACTTACTCTTGTAAAAAAAAATGATTTCAAGAAAACTATGAAGAAAAATGTCGGGGGATTGCAGATTCGGGCTTTGGGCAGCCCACCATGATCTTCTTATTAGGCCACCACATAATGCCCCATTACATGCATATGTATTCCAGAACCTTATAAAGCCTCTCATTACCTTTCTATTCCTAGAAAAAAAAAAATTGAATTCAGTATTTTTTTTTGAATAATAAAATATATTTTAACTTTAGGGAGAGTTATTTGGCACCATACAATATTTAATATGGCTTTATTCCAATTGCTGGGAAGGGATGCTGAAATAAAGTAAAAGTCCATGTTTCAGCTAAATGGATGGTTTATATTATATATACTCCATTGACCCATGCCCCACTTTGTTTTTACTTTTGAAAACCAAAACCACAAAAGGGGAAGGGGAGAATCTCAATTGCAAACATTTGATTTAAATTTTTTATGAAGGATTAAAAAAAATAGATCCAATAATTTCGAATGAAAAAACCAATAAAAGTCATTTACGTTTGATTTATAATTGTATGAACTTTGGAGGAATATAAAATGGAAAAAAAAAAAAGAAAAGAAAATGTTACTATGAAGAAAGGAAATAAAATTTTAACTTCCATATATAATAAGGAGCTATATAATTTCAATTTTATTTATGAAACTTTGATATTTATGTTGATGTCACCTTTTGAGCCATTTGATTGCATTGATTTAATTTAATTTTATTTTTTTTAGAAAAAAATGGATTGGTATGGAAAAGGCATGTTTATGGCCTTTGATGATTATTCTTATCCAAAGTTACGCCTCTTTTTCAAAGGAAAAGAAGCTAAAGTAGTGCTCAAAAGAATGGACAGTCATGAAACTTGGAGAATATGTTTAAAATTAATAAATCAAAAAAAAATTCAAAGATAGGATTATTTTTCGTGAACTTGAGGATATAATTGAAGATAATCATATAATTAATTTATTGGTTGAATTATCTTAAAGATATATAGTTGGATAATAAAATTCACTTATAAACTATATATATTTATATGTTAAAATAAATTAAAAATAATATCTAAATTGGATCAATTAAAATTTACGTCATCTAATTTATCTATAAATAAATCAAAATAATTTATAAATAATATTTATTTTTGACCAATTAAATTTATTTATTGATCATTTAATTTATCTTTAACAATTATGATAATTTGAAGTTAATATCAAATTTTGATTATTTAATTTATTTTTAAATAAATTAAGATGATTTTCGATCCATCAAAATTCAAAAACTTGAAATTTGACCAATCAAAAAATTATTTATGAGTGTATTTTTTTAAATTCTGATGAAAATTTTTCATCTAAAACTATAAATACAATTTTCATTCTATTTGGGAATTCAAAAATTCAAATGAAAAAGATTTTTGAAACAAGTGTTCAAGAAGTGCCATGCAAGTCTAAACCCTTGAAGACGAATTTTTGAAGAAAGCCAAATCCAAGTTTAGACCTTCAGAAATTCAAAAGAAGATTTTTGAAGATTTTGTTCAAAATCAAGCCCAAGTCTAAACCTTTGAAGATGAATTTTTGAAGAAAATCATATCTGTTTAAGATTAAGTGCAAATCTTACAATTAATTCTCAATTAAAAGAGAAGAAAAATACTATTAAAACATAATAGACCATCAATAATATCAACTCGTACGTATTTACATCAATAATAAAATAATGCCCATTGTATCTAGTCAAAATTCAGTAATTATACCAGTAATTATAATATTTAGAAACTACTAGACATAAAAAAAATAAAATTCAAGAAACTGACCATATCCTTTAAATATAAAGCACAAATTTAAAAAATTTACCATACCATAAACAACGCACAATCTGTCAAAGATCATCAATATCCACCATAACACAAGTTTAACAAATTTTTATATGAGTCAAATACAATATACCTTAATTCAATTCCCCTATTATTTTATTTTGATAAAAACATAGATTCGTTATTATAAAAATAGAAAAATTCATCAAATCGACCTAATTGATGAAATATAATTCAATTTAAGTTATTTTGATTATTAAGATATGATTCGTTGGTTCAAGGGAGTTTGGTTAATTTGGTTTTTGACTTTTAATTTTTCCAATCAAATCCAGGGGTAATTTTCTTACTTAATTATCATTAGAAAGAGATTTCTTAATTTTGGTAAAAATCATCAGATTACTAAAAATCACCCAAAAAAGACTAAAAAGAAGACAAGGGTCAAGGAAACGGAGCTCAAGAAAAAAAAAATGTAGAGTAAAGAAAGGGCTGGCGGTCGCAGTCGACTCTTGTTCTCTGTTTTCCTTTAAAATCTTCGTCTCTCTATCTAAACTCTAAAGCCTCCTTCTTCTTTTTTTGATTCTGAGAAGCTTAAAAAGAGAGAAAAAAAAAGGAAGGACAAAAATGGAGAACAACAACAACATGGGAGAGTTGAAGACCCAGAATCAGAATAACAAGCAAGTTCGTTTGTTTTACTGTATGGAATGTGAAGAGCTTGCCCGTAAAGTTGCTGCTCAATCCCAACTCATTACCCTCCAATCTATCAACTGGAGGTACCCCACCTCCATGAATTCATTCATGAATATCTTTATTCCTTTATGTTGTCGATGATAAATTTCATGTTTTCTGTTCTTTGGCTTTTTTTTTTCTTTTTTGCATTTTGTTTAAGGTGGGTTTTTGTTTTCTTGCTTTTACTTTAATCTGTTTGTGGAAAACTTTACTCGTGAAATAGATAGTTGATAAAAAATATATATGAAAACTAGAGTGTATGATCAGATTGGGGTGTTAGGATAAGTGGCAAAGAATTTCGTTAACTATGTTGAACCACGGCATCTGTTCTTTTTCTTACTATGAAGACAAATGAGAAAACTTATGCTTTTCATTTGGATGTGAAGTTAAGGATTTTTTGCTTTTGCACTTTGTTTTTTGTCATTTTTTGAAATAATAATCAATTGCCTTGTGTGTTTTTTTGCTGGGTTTTAAATGCTATCATTGCAAATTTGCAGTTCATGCCATATAGCAAATTTAGTTCTAAGAACCTTGCTAAATGACATGCCAATGAATCATAAGCTTTGATTCAAGGGGGCTTGTTTGACAATAGAGCTTGGGAACTTCTTTGTCAAGCTTGTTTACTTGACTTGAAATAAGATGGTCCTAGTAACCTATTTCTAAACCCACTCATAAGTTGGTCGACATCAACAATAGACCATGGCGTTCAGGACCCTGGAAAATGAGCTTGTATTGATGCTTTAACTCTATGATTTTTGTTGAAAATTCAACTCTGTCTCAAGAACACGTTAAGCTGTCTGTGTTCTTACTCTCAAGTCCTTCCACAAAACTGAGCCATCTAGTGATGGATGCACATCATCCTATCATTAAATCTCCTATAAGCTTGCTTGGAACTCCTTTACTTATGCCTTTTTGGTGACTCCAAATTCACTCCCCTCTTTGAAAGGCAAACACCCCTTACCACTGCATCATCGAATTGTTTTATTTTTCAATTTCTTTTTGAGGCTAACAACATGCTATCGCCATTGGTGTCCTCACCATCAAAATAATGTGTGTCATTCATGTGAAGATCTTGACATTCATCCACCTTACCTCAATTGAGTATCCTCTGGCAACAGCTAAAGCATTCCAAAGGATTTTTATATCTGCTATATGTTTTATTTACAACTCTTATTGCACATTTTGCATGTTGACTTACCATGAATTTCTTGCTTTTTTTTTATTGCTGTAGTCTGTATCATGGCCAAATTAAGAATATTAAAACATGTTTTGCGAGGGAGAGACAGAGAGATGGGGTGGGGGAGAGGGCATAAGGGAGTGTTGGATTTTCAAGTTTATATTGGAATTTCAATACTGACTTGTAGTTTTCCATATTCAAACTTTTGATCCACATAAAAGATTCAATTTAGTACTCCTGGTTAGGTTAATAAATTCACTCCTGATTAATGAGTTTGGCAATATGGAAGCAGGCTTGCATGCACATTTATGCAAAATATTTGCAGTCAGTATCTGCTTTGCTAATCTCTTACTCCTAGTATAACAACTATTGCATTCTACTCTGGACGTGAATGTTTAAATTTCTTCTCTTTCTTATTGTTAATAGCACAAAAATTTCCTTTAGAAGTTGCCAATTGATATGATAAATATTTTTCAAGGTTTTTTGCTGCAGGCTTGCTTTAATTGTTGGCTGTAAGATGTACATTTAATAGTTGCGTTAACAATGAGTATTCTTATATGAAGAAGGAATGATGAACTGCATTTATTTACAGGAATTTTGATGATGGATTTCCAAATCTTTTCATAAATAATGCGCATGATATCCGAGGCCAGCATGTTGCCTTTCTTGCATCCTTCAGCTCCCCATCTGTCATTTTTGAACAGCTTTCTGTCATATACAATCTGCCACGATTGTTTGTTGCTTCCTTCACATTGGTGTTGCCATTCTTTCCAACCGGCTCCTTTGAGAGAATGGAAGAAGAAGGAGATGTAGCAACTGCATTTACCATGGCAAGGATTTTGTCAAATATTCCCATATCAAGGGGTGGTCCTACAAGTTTAGTCATTTATGACATCCATGCTCTGCAGGCTAGTTTTTCTTGCGATGAAAATTTTATCATATCTATTCTTTGCTATGATATTTATTTATTTTATAATCTTCTGAAGCAGTTTATCAGATTTATCTGGAAAGTTCTGTTAGTCTTTTATTGTCAGCATGATGTTGATGAGTAGTACCTGGTTTTTAAAACTCTGGAACATGATAAGAATCTTATTTCTTAAAATCTCATTTTTGGTCTTTTGGTAGTATTTCCCTTCCTTTCTCATCTACCAAGATTTCTTAAATTCAGTTCTTCTGTGATATAAAAATGTTGTAGCTTGAAATAAAAAAATGGCATCAATTTTTTGGACAAGGCCATGCTAAAGTGGAGGTTAACAATTTCAGCAGGTTGTCATTATGGTATATGTTCCTGTTATTTTAATTATTCTTAATTAGTTTGATCCAGATATCTCGTCTCTGGGAATGTTTTATTAGAGGACACTGGGATGTAGGTTTGTTACTAAATAGTCAGAGGGAGAAGGATAAAATGAAACTAATGTTCTATCCTAACATGTAAAGCTTTAGATTCACGATGCTTATAATTATGTTCAATAGTATTGTTTAAGTGTATTTTTGTATTACTTATAGCAAATATGCATGCATTGGTATAGAGAATGTGTATGCATTTTATTTCATTTGACTCAAGTTTATTTAAGCAGACATATGCTATAGGAAAATTATTGTCGGATGAAGAAGCTTGCATTAGGTGAAGAATTTATTCTTTTGAGGAAAGGTTGAAGTGAAATTTTGACTTTTGATGACCTTTGTTCTCTCAGACACTAGTTCTTCTCCAGTGTTGTTCTTTTTCCCCTTACTTTTGTAGATCATGGCTTGGATTTTGTATGTGGGCCTTTTCTTGACTTGGCCCAAATATTTGGTATTCAAAACTCATTACCATGTAAAGTGTCTTGTGATAGGTTTTTCATGTGTGAGAGGGAGACTCGTTGGTTGTATTCAAGGCTTGGAGTTTGTGATGTTTGAGTATAAATCTTCGACAATCTCCACCTCTTCTGATTATAGTGAAATTTCTCATCATCACTGCACCTGGTCCAAAATATAAGGTGATAAGTCTAGACACAAAATCCTTTGGCCAACAAACAATGACCGCAACTACTAATCAAGTATTCACATTGTTGAATTTGGTAATTCAATGCAAGAATATTGTGGAAGATTCTGACACAAACTAAGGATTTTTAACATTGATGTTATCAGCATCAGGGTTCTTTGAACGCCACGGCCTAGGAAAGTGATAGATCTTTTTGTTCGTTAACTAGACTAATAGTTTTTACCAAAAAATTATTTATAAGAGATCCAAAGTAAATTGATATGGAGCATCAGGTCAACTGATACGTAATTGTTGTTTCCAAGTAAATTTGTGTACATGCTATTTAATGTGGATCTAATGAGCAATAATGCTATGGAGCTATATGTTCAAACATGATTATTTTGTGATTCAGTGGTTAAGTGACAGGGTTTCACTTGACACTTGGTTTGTAGTCTTCTCACCAACATAGTGGTTCTTAGGAACGTGAGGATTCCTTTATTTCTTCTCATGATTTGACTTGTTCTGCAAAAGCAATATTGAAGCATTGGCTTGTGTTTTTGTTTTCTTGTCTCAGTTTTTAGGCATATGATCATGAAAATTCTTTTTAGGTATGCTGTGTTGGTGATCTTGGTTAGCACTTGTTTGCAATATATATGTCCATCATAGATGCCTCAGTTATTGTTATTCTCTGTCTTGTAAAAACACTTGATAATTATTTGTTAATTTTCCTTATAATGCAGGAACGATTTTATTTTGGAGACCATGTGTTGCCATTATTTGAGACTGGGATTCCTCTTCTAAAGCAACGCCTTCACCAGCTTCCTGACGCTGAAAAGGTAAGTATATCACCTCATAATACTCTGTGGCAAAATTTATTTTATATTGTGGCCATGATGCTGGTCAGCATTATTTCAACATGATTTTCCCCTTAATGTTGTTGTTATTCATTAGTTAGGAAATGATACCTTTTGCTAGGTTGTTACATTCTCTCCAATTAAATTGACTTCATTTTTCAGATAGTTGTTGCATTTCCGGATGATGGAGCTTGGAAACGATTTCACAAACTGTTGGATCATTTTCCAACGGTCAGTTTGGACTCTTATCTAAATGAAGTTACCTTATATTTTGTGCTCCATTTATTATATGAAGATTGAAGGTACATGTTATCTGATTGG